TGTCTGTCAAGTAGCAAAAGAGTTGGTTAAACGTCTTTTTGTTGGCTGATAGTAGTAGGATGCCGGAAAGGAAGTGAAAGCAGGCGTTGGTGTTCAGACGGCACAATTGTTATCTGGCGAGACGCGCCAGACGCTAATGATGGTCGGAGCAATTAAAGCGTCCGCATGGGCACAAAAGGCGGATGCTCTCCCTCAGGATGACTGTTTCTCTCTAAGCGATCGCCTTTGAAGGCTCCAGATCGGAGTTGCGGGGCAAGTGGGACGCTCGTGTTCCGTCCCGCAAACAGGTCGGAGTTGTGACCAACACAATGCTCTTACGTGCCTTTGCCGCGTTCTCTTAGGGGCTGACAATGGACGACGCAAAACTCCAACTGGGGAGGGAGGTGAGGGGTAGAACAAGTGAGCTTACCGAGTGTGGTAGATTTCCCGCAAAAATCAGGTTTCTCGTTCAGGATCCAAATTTTAATTTAGTATTTTCAGTTCTTGACAGTAATTCCTACTTCTATTGTGAAACGTTAGTCAGTTTCCCACCAAAATAATATTACTTCGTTTTTCAAGCTTTCATAGTAGCTAGTTCTAACAGCAGCGAAAAACCAAGTAGAATTGATTACAATGAACAATAGACAGGAACTGATCACTGACTTGGTGGCAAGAAAACAAGGTGCGGTAGCACAATTTGCGAAGTATCTGTGAAAAATGCAGGAAATATCAGGCTTACCATTTTCGACTTATTCGCCATCTTCAGACGGCCATTCTGCAGGCGTAGGCCGTGAGGAACCGTAGATCGAACACGTGGGCTGACCATCTAACTACGGGACTGTGCACTGCAGGAGTGACGATTTGTCTTAATTTCAGGAGAAAACAGGGACGACTTCCTCTTGTCTCGGAGTTTTGTGCCGCAGTCCAGGCAGGCGGTCGTACGGGAGTTTAGGATATGGATAGCTGACGAGAACAAGCGGGGCACGAATGCCCCCTATTCTACCTACTCTTTGCCGACGACACCTCCCGACCACCGATTCCGTGCATCTATGCAAACATTTCTGTGCACCCAGGGTAAAACGGAATTGTCCTGCAATCAGACTAAACCGGTGCTCGTCAAGCCTCAACCACACCATAAAGAGACATTATGCAGAGAGGCGCGTAATGCATTTTTACGCCGACCTGCTAGCTTACTGAAAAGACATTGTATATATGTCAGAGGGGTGCCTTCAGGGTAGTTGTTTTGACAGTCGGCATTTTCGCTGACGAATTTACACAGTAAACTTTTTCCACGTCAAACATAATCACGCACACTGCCGGTGCTCCTTGCTACGGACCTGGGCAACGAAGTGTTCCGGGCTTTTGTCCTGAGAGGATGGTCGGACAAACGAGTATGAACACCAGTCCCCTTCTGTCTTTTTCCGTCTTCCCGCCGGAAACTAGGTCAAGGTTACTGAAGGCCTAATTAATTCTGACAGTAGGCAACTTTTGAGGACTTTGTCTTGTTCTATCGGCTCAGTAAGGCCATAACAACTTTTTCACGGTAAACCTTCCCAAGGTCAATGAATGCGGTAATACACTCAACACTAATGTCCTTACTAAGTAAAGTACTTATGCCTCCGGACTAAAAAGAGCTAGTTTCTAGTTTGATTCGATGACCTTTAGCTGACATGCCTTCCGCGCATCCTGTGACGTATCTGCCATGCAGCCTAACAAGTGTTTCGGTTCTCTAAACCAAACTCCGAGGGCGTGCTACAAGCAGTCATAGCCCTTGCCGAATTCCCCAAGATATCTTATGAAGGCAATTGTGAGGATTCAAATGCGAACGCTGGCCGACTAATCTACTTTATCCGCAGATCACAATAGTCTGAGACTCGGAGTTCACTTTTGATCGGGGGGATGAGATAAGCAGCGTACCCCTCTTTTGACGCTCATTATTCCCTATAACTAAAGAACAGTCCTGGCTGGGACTGTCACATAGTATTGTTTTGAGAGCGAAGAACAAGTCTCCCAAACCTCAACTCATCCTTGAAAACTGGGTGAGTTCCCAGCTGGCTGCTTCCCTCAATGCTATTAAGACACCCGAAAACGATAAAATCGCATCGCCTTGGTCCGGACCCTCTTTCCTGTCCCTCCCCCCCCCCTCTCGAGCATAATTACCTGTCCCGGTCTTTCGTTCGGCCTTCTTCTCACAAGCTCCGAAACCCATGCTCCCTCTGACGTCCAAGTCTAAACGTCCTAATAAACGACAGCATGCGAACAACCTAGGCAAAATAGGACAATCGCAAGGGGGCGCAGAACATGAGGCACTGGGGGAATCAAATTTGGAGAGAAGAAACGTGCTGATAACCGTTTTTAATCTTTCTGCCTCTAGTAGATAATCGCATTCCAGTAGGCGATTAACTCGGCATTCAGAGCACATCGTAAATTATAATGTAAAACCCGCCTCAAGGTCCTACAGTCCAAACGTATACTCATTAAGATACGCAAATTCTGCTGAGCGCTGGCGGAACTAGCTTATGTGCAATCCCATTTAGAGGAGTGGGCGGAAGTCAGTGGAAATAGTCGACTGGCCGAGTGTCTATGAGCTGACTTCCGCACCCCGCAACATCTAGAGTTAACACGTCAGGCGGTTGTCATACACCCAGAAGGCGCTCGTTGTCAGGTGGGCTAAGACCGCGGAACTCACTAACGGCGCTGAGCGTTCTCTCAGTGGGCTGTCACATTCGGCAATACCAGCTATGCGAGCTAAGCAAGTACCCCCATCTTCCGCAGGGTGCAAAGCCAGTCCATCGTTGTCACAGCAACGGTACACAGACGAACAGCAACACAGATTTCTAGGCCAAAGTAGGCCTGTCTTCAAAGCCCGGGAGGGGAATATCCTTGCCCTCGCTGATAGAGCGCTCGATGCGTAGTCGATTTAATCCCATCCCGCGGTTATTGCGTTCCAAATAGAACACTTTACCGGTTTTTAGCTTAACTGAGCAAGTAGTAGTTACTGAAATCATGGGCCGTGTCACGTCCGGGGCATTGCACTGTAGAGTCCTCGGTGTCGCGGGCAGGTCTGCGCCTATAGTCGCCTCCTCCAGGGCTCACATATGGAGATGGGTGTCAGCAAGTGTGCAGTGCATGAAAACGTGTCTTCCACCCCGTCAGCTACCGCGCCCAAGCCATCTCTGGTTGTCTCGACCTTCCCTTGGGACAGGACAGGCAGGTGAGAAGAACGAAGTGGAAGCCACCACTCCAAGTCGCGGGTCAGGATGCGGATAGAGGCAACTCACTTCGGAATCGGCTAACGGCTTGCGGAAATGCGGTGCGATGCGCAACCTTTGTGAAACCTATTAGTCGTCAGGATGTTATCACACTCGAGGCCCGAAGGATATTGTATAGAAGACGAGAAGGCCATAATAACTGGGCATGTTTTCAAACAGAAAAAGTCGCCAGTCAGAAAGGAGGATAACCAGGGCCAACCTGGAGGAATGTCGACAGCGTTAAAGTGATGTCACGTAGGTCCGCGTAGAGTGAATACCCATGACCACAAAATCCAGTGAAAAGGATTATAGTACTCAGCTTGTTTGCATGGCACCCTTTTCTCTTTCTATTGTAATTAGCGGCATTAAAGCATGCCGCTACGGCCAGACAGACGAAGATACGATCCCAAATAACCATCCAGCTTGTCCTTCTGTCCCTTATATACCCGAAACCCTGATACACAGTTTCGCAAAGTGACTGAAATTTTCCTTTTGTTCAGAATGCCAACCCTGGCATATGTAACGCCAAAAAAACAATAGAGCAAAAGACAAGGCCTTAATCACACAGAGTCTCAGTTGATATAAAATGGAGTGATGTTAATTACATAGAAGGATTCCAGATACAGTGCAAGTTGGATGGTGTGCGAAAATCTAAAAAAAGTGAGAGCTGGACTGTACACCGCAGGGGCATATATCCATGTCCGGAGGGGGCAGTTTTGGAGGGAGAGAAGGAACGATTGGAAGGGATCATTCTGGTCAACCAGATACACACGCAAACATACACACATGTATATATACTTAAAAACAATGAGCCCTATAAAAATCCATAGTAAAAAGACGTGGATGGGGGCACATATCCCTGAGGTAGAAACAACGCATCAGTACTTCAACACACGCTGTTGTGAGTCTGCACGCAAGACAACGACATGTCTATCAGCCGGTGAGGTGTGGGCCATTCCCAACCTCCTAGACATTAAACATTCGTCGGACAGTGGCCGTGGATGTGGGTGGATGGCGAGCGGCGCCGGTGCTCTCGTCGTCACGATCGGCCTGTCGGTGAATAATTGCCGTCTGCCGTACACCCTCCTCCTCCTCTTCGTCCCCCTCCTCCTGCGCCACGGCCTTCCCACCACCATCGACAGTGTTCGCTGCCACAGCCCCCTTTTGAGAACGCTGAAGTTCAATGTTGGGATTTGGATATAGTGGTGGCGGCAAATCCGTGGCACACTCCCTAAGGTCGGTCGGGTAGGGTGTTCTTGGGCTCTTCGTCTCCGGCATCACGGGCGCCGAAGGAAGCGGTCGATGCTTCGAGGTCACCTGACCGCCAGGTTGGAGCTGAAGACTCATAAAGTCACCGTCTGGCGAGACCAAATTGCCCTCGCTGTGAGATGCAGGCGGCAGGCCGGGGGTATTTGGGTGGTAATGATGATACCCCGACACCTGACTACTCGTAGCCTTCAGTATGGACAGGTCGCCGTACTCATTGTTTTTTGCTTTAGGCTCTCCGCGACGGAAATCCTTCCCATAGTACTGTTTCTTATAATCCCCGAACAGACAGCACACGATCTCCACAGTAATAAGATCACCGGCATTCATAGATAGCATACGCAGCAGAAAGTGTCCGTCCTGACGCAGGAACTCGTTGATGAAACGGCTAATCAGATCGCGCATCTTCTCATCATCACGGTTGTAAACGTCGGCCATCTTAAGGAACCGTCGCACGAAATGGCGTTGCCGCCTTGCCGCGATGCGTACCAGCCAAAGTGGCACGCTGAAGAGCGTCATGAAGAGCACGGCCGAGAGGAAGAAGAAGAGGAAGACGTAAATCTTCTCGTTTAGCATGTTGATTGGGAGGACACACTGTGCAAAGAGCTTATTGCTGGCAGCCACGTGCTGTAGGGTGT